TATAACAATAATAATAATAATGGTAGCGGATTATTAAATATCAAGACCCTACACAATCGGGAGATATGCAATCTCAGAGAATATTTTCTACATACCGATGTGGGAATGCATCGCAATGTTGTTGCAGTGGATATCGGATTCAAACCGCTCGCTCTGGCTAAAGAGAATTGGCGCAAACCTGTAGTATTTAGTACTAATGATCGTAGGGAAGTATGGAAGGGCAAAGAGCTCCATGGCCGGTTTTATCGGACCCTAAACGGGTCCGATATAGACTTTAAAGCATCTACGACTTGGCTACGGTATGGTGATCTCTTCGGAGAAACTGAAAGTATTGTTTGTGCGATTATGGACGAAGTTATCATGACGAATAACTATCGGAAATATATCCTGAAAGATGGTACGGTTGACATCTGTCGGGCATGCCACCGTCCTGGGGAATCAATCAGGCATATCATTTCTGGTTGTTCTCGTCTTGCTAACGGTGAATATTTGCATAGGCACAACCAAGTAGCCAGGATTGTACACCAACAGCTTGCCCTTAAATACCATCTTGTGAATCTAGAGGTGCCATACTACAGGTATGTGCCCGACCCAGTTCTCGAGAATGGTCGGGCCACGTTGTATTGGGATCGATCTTTTATCACAGACAGGACTATTGTTGCTAATAAGCCTGATATTGTAGTGATAGATCGATTAGAGCGCCGCGCAATGATTGTTGATATCGCCGTTCCTCATGACGAGAATCTCGTGAAAGTTGAAAAAGAAAAACTAATAAAATATTTGGATTTATCTCACGAGATTGTCGATATGTGGAATGTCGATTCAGTGATCATTGTTCCGATAGTCGTATCTGCTCACGGATTGATAGCCAAGAGCCTCGACCAACACCTTAAGAGGCTCATGTTGGACGGCTGGATCAAGGGTCTGATACAGAAGGCAGTCCTCCTTGACACGGCTCGTATAGTGAGGAGGTTCCTATCTTTGCAGTCCTAACCACTGGTGTCTTGGTACCTGTACCCGATGTCGGTGGTCTACTATTTTTTATATTTTTAAATGTATTTTTATTTCTTTTGTAATATGTTTAAAAATTTAATTAATATGTATATATAATTTAATAAAGAGAATAATAATAATATAATAATATTGTACCACATTCACACAACGCCATCTAGTCCCAAACTAAGCAGAGCTTGTACTATGGGTACTAGACAACTGATATAAATACATATATACTTTTTTTTTTTGTAAATACATACTTATTATACATAGAAACACCCAGACCAAGTCAAACATTAAATGTTCATGCACACAAATGTTTGACTAGAGCGGGATTCGAACCCGCGACCTTTGGAATAGCATTCCGTTACACAAACCACTACGCCATAATATAACGGCTATTATAGAATACAGGGAATTCAATAGGCCAATGTGACTCAAGTTAACAATTTACAATAATTTAAAAAAAATGTTTGACTGGTAGTGAATACCTTAGGCATTAAGTCCATCAATACACTGAATGTGTAAATAAAATAAATAAATAAAATTCAATGAAATCGTTGCTAGTATCCAGCTATTCAATAGATAACATGAGTTCAAAAATATTCTTAGATGGTTTCTAAAACTATTGAAACATAATCCATCACACAATTGGTATTGGTTGTTTGCTCCGATTTCCGCATTTAGACTCGAGAGTGGTCCTTTATGCGTCTAGAAGAGGTTGGCTAGGTGAGCCAACCAAGATCCTTCAAGAAACTCAGTAGCCTCCTGGGGCGTTCACAGACTTCTAGGAGCAGCCATCACACACTTAGTAAAACACATAAATTATAAACATTAAAATATGTTCTACAAATCAAAGTTATGGCAGTGTGCCTAAGCAGCTTATAAAATTATCTTTGAGACACTTTGTTCAGTTATGTTAGGATACCTAAAACAATTCTAATTCAATTTAAGTGAAATCTAATTAAATTTCGATTAGTTCCCTTCCGCAACATATACGAAATATCAAAGATGAGTGGTCTGGCAAAGCGACGGTCGGTAAAAAACACTAAAATAGAGAATTAATTGCAAGTTATACAGGACACTGCTACCGACAACCGACAGCAAAAAAAGTATTTACGATAACATTATTTATTTTATTTTTATTAACGTTTATTTAAATCCATCATTAATATATTATTAAATAAAATCTGTTTAAAAGACTTATCTAAAATATTTTAATATTTATATATATAAGGAACATTTTAGTTAATTGGTTTAAAAATCTGTTTTTTTTATTTATATTAAAACTAGCAGACCCGACAGTCCTGGTCCTGTACACGTCTTAAATCCCAAAATTTCAAACTTTCTAAAAAACCATTTCGCTCTTCTATACTTTGCCTGTCGTCAAAAATATGGTCAAAGATCATTACCTGACTACCTATCCTATAATTATTTCAAAGTCATTCTAAGTATCATAACATTTCAATTATCGCGTTACGTGATATATCAATATTAATTAGGGAATTAACACGATCAATTTATTGCTTTAAATTTGCCTGACGTTTGGACCAGGTTGCACTTTTTTTTTGCAGTCAGCTTGTGTGTTTTGAAAAGTTTTATTACGTGCATTCCGCTGGTAGGGAATTTATCATCAAAATGTGGTTCGCATATACAAAATGGGTTTATGACAGTCTTCAATTATTGTAGCAGAAACAAAAGAAGTACACCACTTATTTAATAATTATATGGAGAAGATAAAACAAAAAACGATGAAGTAACAAATTAAATAATATTGGCACCAATTACACCGACATATTTGCTGACGGTACTGCAGTTGACGAATTGAATTTTGATGAGTTACAGCCGGCGTCGGTATCTCATTATCATTTCACCATAGCACTGCAGAATATGGCAAATATATGGGATGTGTACAGAAATACAAGTCGGAACAAGATTCATACAAAAATTGCAATAATACATGTTATGGCGTATTTCAACATAAGCTTATTTGACATGTTTCGCTTTATTAAATATATATATTTATAGGCCCGTAAGGCCAAGCAGCATGGTATAGTAGGCTAGAACCTACCTTCTATAAATGATAAATGATATTTATTTCTGTACCTCCTCAATAAACTAGACCGACTTCTTAATAACTGCATTCGATTTGTTTTTAATCTTCGCAAGTATGACCATGTGTCTGCTTTACGTTCCCAACTGAAATGGCTCCCGATTCGTCAACGCCGCAGTCTGCGCGCACTAACATATCTTTTTTCTTTTCTTAATTCCCCATCGGTACCTGAGTACCTGGTTCCCCATCTCCGCCTCCTTTGCTCCAGTCACGACCGAAATCTTCGATCAACAAATAATATGCTTCTTCTTTGCCCCCCTCACACTTCCAACTTCATCAATTCTTCTTTCTATGTACAGTCAGTTCTTCTCTGGAATGCGCTCCCAGTTGAAATTAGGATGTCCACTAACCGGTTTACGTTCAAGAAGAAAGTACAAGAACTTCTACAAAATAAGTTGGCAGAAAGGTCACATCGCTAGTACCCGACTATGTGTTTTTATATTTATGTATTTATAAATGTGTATATTCACCTATTGTATGTGTATACTTGAGACCTCTATGTATATATGTAGTTATGAATATAGTATTTTATTTATAGTATTTATAGTGGTAGTGTATATATGTAAGTTAGATTTATCCAACATTAATAATATAAACAAGTCAAATTCTCTGTTTTCTCTTGCACCTACAGCTTCATTTTTCTACATCACCCGAAGGTCGACTGGCAGAGAATGCCTTGGGCATTAAGTCCGCCTTTGTACAACTAGTGCATTAAGTTAAATAAATAAATAAATAAAATAAATCTTTTCAGATATTTTTACAAGTCGGAAAGGAGGAAGGAAAGGCCTATCTCCCGCAGTGGATTAGTATAGGCTGTTGTTGATGATTGAAGTATATCTAAATAGGTACTCTATTCAGTGCAATAATAATTGTTCAAATCTGAATACAATTGTTCCAGGGATTAGCGCGTTCAATTAAACAAACAAATAAACACTTTATCTTTTGTATAAGTATGTAGCTGAAGGGTTTAACTCTTGTTTTTATTAACAGTACTACTTGTATTATATAATTGAATTAAAAGATAATCATATCTATATTTTCATACTAATGTGTCAAACAAGAATACGGCTCAATGGTTTTTTTTTGTATAAATACTCGCAAAATCAAATATCACCCACACGTTGTTAACTCTTTCCCCTCCCTATACTTCTGACTACGTTCATTATAATTTCCATAGAAATAAATAGCTTAAATACCATAGTGTTGTACTTCCATGGATGCCGACCTACGGACACGTATAGTATAGATATTTACGTATTAAGTAATCTGTGCCTATTTTTATCTCATAAAAAAAAAAAGAATTCTAACAAGCATTTAACTGAGTTATACGAGTTAATTAAGACAGTAATGTCAAACTCGTAACAAGAATAAAAAAGGTGTATTTAAAATTAAATATTTAATTTTTTTGTTCTACGTTTGTTTCTGTACAGTGTCAATGTAAACACGTTTGATATAAGCCGGCCGATATATGTATGAATTGAGAATCACTTCATATCGCCACCATCTTCGCTGACACCACAGCAGACTGCTTTAATGTCGGAACAGTTCTTTTTTCATGGAGACATTTCTTTTAAAATGTCGTTTTTTTTTTAGAATTGTGTTGTTTCATTTTAGGAGCCCAGTGGAAAATTACAATGAGAAATATGTCGAAAGAAAACGTGAATGTTTCGGATACACGTCTTTTTGCTATACACTAGAGGAATTTCGACCGGAGGTTGGAAAGTATTTACATATGACAGGTATACATAAATTGGTTGGTTGATGAACCTGTATAATAAACGAATAAAATTATTTGCAAAGGAAAATATCAAATAAACAGGATAAAAAATTAAGAAAGCCATAATGATCGTACACATATCATATGTACATATATATATATATAAAACACAAATTATAATCCTGAGGAGTAGAATTCATAAGTTTCTCTTGGATAGTCGTGTCTCAAGTCACTTTCCATCTGATAAGTTGGATGAACATCAAAGGGCTACTCCATTATCCAATAAAAAAGAGTAACAAACATAAATCTATTTTTTTCTGACGTATTATCTTTTGGCGTTTGTGTCTTTTTATACGCTTTTATTGAAGTGAAAACTTCTTTAGGCGCCTTGGGCACTTTTGAACAACAAACAAAAGAATGTATTTTGTATTGACCTCATCTGGGAAATCTAGAATCTAAAACCATTGAACTCGCGACACTGTTACCGTTACTGACACCTCTGTATATAACTTTTCACTTTACTTCTGTCAACACTCCTGGAGTCATCACACATCACATCAACAGCCTTTAATAGTCCACTGCTGGACATAGGCCTCTCCTTAGAAAGAAGGTTTTGGCCTACTATACCACGCTGGCCAGGCGGGTTGGTATAGGGTTTGTGTCAAGTTTGCTAGTGTCCTGCGTTGTTTTGCGCCCTTAGTCGGTTCTTACGACACCCACGGGATGAATTGGGGTAGTGACATTCCGTATTCTTAATCCGTCACTACACGGACACCACGGACGGAGTACCACTGTTTTTTATTTACTAGCTTTTGCCCGCTACGCCGCCCGCGTGTATGTCGATTATCGCGGTAAAACGTAGCCTATGTTACCCTGATAAAGTAGCTTTCCATTGGTAAAATAACTTTCAAAATAGGTTTAGTGGTTTAGGCGTGAAAGCGTTATAAAACTTACATTTATAATGTTTGTATGAATGGGTGTTAATAACAATTTTTTGTATGATTAAAAAAAAAATTTACAAATAGGCCTCACTTACCTGAGGACACATTTTGCAGTGGTACTTTCTCGCGTGGGCGTGAAGCGGCTGCAGTTTCGTCGGGCCTTTGCCCAATGGTTGGGGAACGACGAGCAGCCCACTCCCAGTATTGGTACCACCTACTGGTGAAGATGACGATGAACCTGGAAGGGAGAGAAAAAATGATAGGGGTTTAGTCACTAGGGCTTTCCTTTCTAGAGTATACCTGGTTCTCAGGCCTGGGGGGTGGGTATACTAGTACCTGGAGACGGCGTGCGGTTTTTGGTCGGTTCGAGTCCGACATAATTACCCACTGGTGGGTGGTATCCGAGCGGAGTTTCGCACAAAAAAAAAACAAACAAAGAAACTCACTCATAATATAGTTTACCACTAATTTAAAAACAATTTTACTAAAAAAATTAGAGTCTGTTGGTCTAGTGGTTACTGACCCTGACTGTTAAGACAGAGGTTGAAGGTTCATTTTTTTTCTTTTTAAAAGACTACGCTACAGGAATGTATTCCTGTGTCGCGGGGGACTTTACAAACATAGATGAAACGGACACAAAGAACACACAGACTCAGAACAACAATTTCTGGATCACACGAAGTGTCGTCCCATGTGGGGTTTGAACCCACAACACTCGACGTAGTAGGAAGAGGCGTGGCGATCACTTAAACCACTACGCCATCCGTGCAGGTTCGATTCCCACCCGCGACAAATATTGTGTGTGGATGTTTATCTATAACATATGTATGTTTAGAAATTGTCCGTGTGGTGACGGATTAGGAACACAGAGTGTCACCACCCCTATTCATCCCGTGGTTGTAGTAAGAATCGACTAAGGGAGCAAGGACTGCACGCAGGACAACAGCAGCAAGAGAAAGAAAACTTGGCACAAGCGGGGTATAGTAGGTCAAAACCTCCTTTATAAGTAGAAGTCTATGTCCAGCAGCAGACTATTAAAGGCTGTTGATGATAGAAATATATAAGTATGTTTATCAGCAGTCTGGTTACCATAGTACAGGCTCTGCCTAGTTAAGGATCAGACGGTCGTGTGTGAAAAAGGAATATTAATTAAACACATATTTTATATTTTAAAATGTTTTAATACTAACCTGATCGACCAGGACCCAGTCCAGCACCGTAGAGCATTTGGCTCATTGACTGATGGTGGCCAAGACGGTCATCCACCTTCTGGTGACCCCCGATCGTTCCATCACCCGTGCTCATCTTGGCCTGAAAAATAAATAAAAGAGTGTTATTAACTTTAGAGTTGCGCATCTAGGTGTATTAATATTTGGTGGTATCCGAGGGGATTTCCGCACGGAAAAAAAAAGAAAAAGGTGTATTAATATTATAATGATGAAGAGTTTGTTTGTTATTTTTTTGTTTGTTTGGTTAAACCCGCTAATCTCAAGTACTACATGTTCGTTTTCAAAAATTCTTTTAGTGTTTCATAGCCCATCAATTTACGGGAAGATTGAATGAAATTTGGTTCAGAGATAGTCCGAGTCCCGGGAAAGGACATAGCATAGTTTTTATACCAGAAATCATCCCTTAAAGGGGTGAAATTGGGGGTGGAAGATTGTATGGGGAAACAATATCCGCTGAACCGATTTAGATGAAATTTGGTATGGAAATATGGTATTGAGTGTAGATGAAATTTGGTATGTATCTTAAACATGTATGAAATACATACATGTTTAAGATAAATTATACCCAAACACCGATCGAATGATCGTGCTCATCACACAATATTTATCCTGGTTGGGAATCGAATCCACGACCTCTGGCATAGCAGAAGGGATTGCTAACCTAGACCACCAACGGGCCCGTTAAATGGCGTCCAACTTCCCAATCCCTTTCCTAGAACAAATGATATCTCAAAACGAAAAAAAAAACAGTTCGAATTGAGAACCTGCTATTTTTTGAAGTCGGCTAAAATTTTCTACTACTGCCAACAAAACAACTAAGATATTAACAATATCACATGCAATAAATTATCTAAACGAACTGTAAATAGATAATTTACGAGTACCCACAAATCAGAAGTGAGTTGCTTTCATAAATAACAGAAGGGACGGCGGTCAGTCCGAGACGACAATGAGTCACGGTTGTGGTCATATAAATCATATCGTAGACTACACACAGCCAATTGAAATATCCAACTTTTGTTTGTGCTTCGAAATTTATCCGAAAGTTCGAACCATTATCTAACTTTCAATAAGAAAATATTAAAACAGTTGGAATTATTTGTCTAGTGTTTAGCGATTTTGAGACTTACGTGCTTTCAAATAAAATAAAAAAATGTTTCAGGAGAAAAGTGGCGTATAGAATAGTGATTTTAAATGTAAAACTAATGTAATTTTAAAATCACTGGCATGCTGCTAGTGGCAGCAACATCTGCCCAGAAACTGGTCACCTCTGAAACTTGACTACTTGAAAGTATGTGAATTTTATAGGATTCAAGTGTTAATTAAAAATATCAATCCACGGCATAAAATAATAATTTATCAATGCATTTTTATATATTTTGTGTTAATATATTTACAGGGTTACTGTTTAGTCGACCTAGATACTTCAAGGGGTTGTAGTTGCCATCATTTTTGATAGATTTCACTATGAAATATCATATCCCTTAACTTACATAACTAATCATTATTAAGATATTGGACTTTTAAGATTTTTATAAATACTGCTGAAATTTTGCCTAATACAATTTTTCTAGAACTTATATCCTTTAATGTTTCTTTTTATTACTGTTTTTGTGTAGTTGATGCATTGTTTTATAATTTCGATTTTCAGAAATTTACAGACAAATAAAGTAAAGGTATGCAAAAATGTAACAGAAATAAATATATTAGGTATAAAAAGAGGATTCTGGTGAAACTACACACAATTAAAAGAAAAAAAAATGCACACACAACCTATAGGTAGCTAAAATGGCAATGGACGGGGCATATGCTAACAGAAATTAAAGTATATTTTATATGTAAGATAAGTTTAGTATTTATAGCAAATACATCTTAACTATCGTTGTTTTCGACCCCCATCAATGATGTACACCATTTTAAACGTCCGTGTATCTCATTCTCTGATAACTTTTATTTAGATCTTCGCTAGAAGCGTTGGAGTTACACTGCAAGGGTTGCAAAAACTATCCATAACGATCTTTAACGGGTTGAGTATTTATATAGAGCTGATAATTTGGAAACGTTCTAGGTTTAGTGTTTTTAACTGTTACTTTTGTGCTTTTCATTTTGATTGCGTGTTTTCTACGACAAAGATCTTCTCGTGATATATGAAAAAAAAAGAATAAATATATATGAAAAAAAGGTTTCATCATCTCTATAACTCTCCCAAAAATTAACCCTGCAAATGTCACGGGTTATACTATAACTAATATTTTAACTAACTAAGAGGTCGAACGGTCATAACTCAGAGCAACCGGCGGGACAAATCATCCGTTACTAATGAACCCGTTGTCCGGAGCGTGTTTAAGTAATTTGTTTCATTTTGCACCCGAGATTTAAACGGGTTTTGTTAATATAATATGCTACTTAATTGTAACTTGAGGAATCAATAAAAATTGGTGAGAATTTTGTAGAAGTAGCGTTTTATAACTTTAATTAATATTTCACTAAATTCTTTATGCACAAATAAAAATTGCATAAAGGCAGACTTAATGCCACAGACTTTATCTCACAGTCTACCTTAGGGTGGTGCAGAAATGTGTGACTACGTGCATGGCATATGGCATATAAGTTGGTACACACACACACACGTACTTAAATACACATACATACTTGCTGAGTTGGGTGCAAAAGTTGAGTGCTATCCTTATTTCCAGATTACCAGAATCCAGTTTCTCCATTCAAGAGGAGGACACATTGGATTAGGAACGAAGAATGAACGAACGCGGACGAGTGTGTGGTTACAGCTCCTAAAATAACTCTTAATGTGTGTTTAAATTAAATTGTGTTATGTTCTTAAGATATAATTAAATACGATATTGTTATACCTCTTGATGCTCGTGTTGTTTAAGTCATCAGTCATCTGCATTTTAAATTTTAATCATCATCTATGATTTCAGACACAAACTCGTTAATAAAATCATTTACAGCCAGTTGTTTTCACTAAAATAACTAGACGAATTAAAAGTGCAGGAAGCGTGTTGATAGTTTTTTATTTACTTGAACTAATGTTTTTTTTTTCACCTTATGCTCTTTTCAGTAAAGAGATATCCTTACTAATATAATAAATGCGAATTGTGTCTGTTTGTTTGTTACCTCCTCATGCTTAAACCGCTAAGTCGATTTAAATAAAATTTGGTGTAAAGATACTTTGAGTTCCGGGAAAGGACATAGGCTAGTTTTTATCAAAGAAATCATTCTTTAAGGGGGTGAAAAGAGGGGTGGAAGTTTGTATGGGGAATTAATAACCGCTGCACCAATTGTGGTGAAATTTGGTATGAAGATTGTTTGATTCTTGATAATGGATTTCTCTTTTTTACCTCGATAATAAATGTATCGTGTGATAAGCATGATCATTTGGTATGTGTGTGTGGGTGTAATTTATCTATAATATGTTTGTATTTATAAATATTAGTATGCTGTTTTAGAAATATGCTGTCGTGACCGGGCGTATTATATAAATATTCCTCTGTCTAGCCCTTTTTGGGTAAATACATGTATTTATGTATATTATATAATATATTCTATACACTTAAAAACAATTATCTGTTAATTAAATAAGAGTGGCCGTGAGTTTGTTTGCCCTTTTTTCTCATAAAGCTCAACCCCTTAGCAATGGGCGGTTGCAGATCGGCACAGGCATATCATAGATTATCGATACGTATTTATATATATTTATTTAGCTAAATGTTTAACAAAGTAGTGATTGTTGCTATTATATATGTTGATCTATGACTTTAGAGTCTAAATAAGAGACGATTTCAAACAATTTAAAAATTTGTTATGGAATAAACATATTTGAGTTTGAGTTTATGTGATTTCTTAGTATTTATTACATCATCATCCACAGCCTTTACTAGTCCACTGCTGGTCATAGGCCTCTCCATAGAAAGGAGGTTTTGGCCTACTATACCACGCTGGACAGACGGGTTGGTATAGGATTTGTTACAAGTTTCCCTCTCTTTGCAATGCTGCTATCCTGCGTAGTTTGCTCCCTTAGTCGGTGACACTATGTATTCTGAATCACCACACGGACATCATAATTCAATTCATCATTACATCATAATTAAAATCATTTTAAATTAATACTATTTTTTAGTTTAGACATCTTTATTCCCCTTATAGAAATGTAAATTTAAGTGAAATTTTGTACATTTCCAATCTAAAACTACTGTCCCAAAACTAACAAACATAACTCATCTACTATCCAGAGGTATTCGTCGTGAATTAATTTAGTTCAGATAACGCCCTCTGGTAGCGGAATGGGAAATTTAATTTTAGTATTAATCTTGCCCGCGGTGGAGGGTTGAATTGTTGCACTATAACTATGTGGGGATGTAATTAATATTTGTGACCCATACCCCTTGGTCATAATAACATAGATCGGGTTAAAAGTCAACGTGAAATTATTACTAAAGAATCGATTGGGGTACAGTAAATAATACCAGGGATTTGTTTTTTTTTTTGCGGTATAGTGGCAAACGAGCAGTTGGGTCACCTGATGGTAAGTGATACATGCCATTAAGAGGCACAAATACGGGCTTAAGTGCCCCCTTTGGGGGAACTATAAACAAAAGTATTTGATGTTGCTTTTGAATTGATACCTTAACGAGTCCCAGTGAACAAGAAAGAGTCCACAAGAACAGACCAACGGACAACAAACCGATACTAAAAAGATTTATTTTCTACTTTATTTTTTTTACATAGATTAAAGAATTATTTACATTAAAATTTAATATTGCAAGCAGAAGAGCGTTCAGGTCATCTGATGGTAAAAGGCTATAGTCGTCCATGGTCCATGGACCCTATGGTCGCAGGTGACCTTCTGGGGCTATTTGGGATTGGGTACCAAAAACCTTACTCATGGCATCGATTTTCTATGAAGCCGTGGTATCAAATTAATCGGTGATAGTAGTTTTTTCTTAAATACAAGTAGTAAATACAAATCAATTGTAATACATTAGTATTATAATTGATTTGTATTTACTACTTGTATTACTACTTGTAAGACCAACAGGCCCGTCAATTGATTTATTA